CTCATAGGGCACCGGCGTTGCGTGTGCAAGCACGGTCCCTTGAGGAACCACGGCCGTTCGCGATCCCACATTAAGGACTGCAATGAAGGGGTCCCCATCCCCTCTCACCATAGTCTGAGCCGCGAGCAAATCGGGTCCATTGACCCCGGCCCGAGATGGACCCAACAAGACCCCCCGATCCGCAACCCCTGCATCAAACGGCCGACGCAACCTAAGAGGGACGAGCATCTGAGCCCCCGGAGGCACGCGCACAGTTTTTGTGACGAGCGCCTGCACGGTGGCAAACGCCCGACGCTCCGTGGTGGGGGAAGACAGAAATGTAACGCGTCGGCCCGATGGGAGCTCAATGCACCCTTGGTCAATAAGGATACGGATGGGCATTTTGGCCAGAAAATCCGTCCCCAACAGGCACGGAACCGCGAGTGAGGAGGAAACCAAAACAGGGCCGGATAATTTAATGTCCCCAATGCAGATAGTGGCGCGGATTTGGCCAATAATGCCCAGAGAGCCCCCGTTAGCGGCATAGCACGGCACGTCAACAGGGAGCAAGGGACGACTTTGAACGGGAAGGATGTTATAAATTAAATCAGATATAATGGTCGCCGATGCCCCTGTGTCAATTAAAATCCGCACCTCTACCCCATCAATGTGACCGACCACGACCGATGATCCCGCCGACGCAGCAACGACACGATGGGCGAGCTCCGACCACTGACCCGGTTGGAGCGCTCGCCGCATTACCGAACAATCGCGCGCGACGGACGGGGAATTTGGAGCCCTGTTTAGTTGAGCGCGTGAGTGTGTGTCGGATGTGTGCGTGGGCCAAACGTGTGAGGTGCCGCGACTCGCCGTATTTCTCTGCTGGAGCTTGGGAGGAGACGGCGTGGCGTCCTGACGAGGTGTCGCCCCGCGCTGACGGGGAGCCCGGCATCCAGACGCAACGTGGCCTTGCAGGCCACAGTTGTAGCAGCGTGTGAGCGCCCCAGATGACCTGGGCTGCTCCTGGCGGCTCGGTCCATTCCGAGCCTGCGGTGCCGCCGATCTCCGTTCCCCTCGCCGCTCCACCCCGCAGACCTCCTCCGATGGGAGGGCGGTGGTCGCCATGGCATGGCCGGCCGCCCCCTTTGCCGCCTTCCGACGCAGGGACCGCAAGCCCCCGTGGATGTGGCGCGCGACCAGCAGGGACGACATCTCCGCGTCGTCCTGAGCCAAGACGTTGACGTCCAGCTCGTCAGCGAGTAGCAGCAGCTTCTCAGCTACCATGGCATCCACTCCTTCCTCGTCCATCCTTGGGAAAGCAGCCTTTGCCAGAGCCAGGAGAGCCGTCCGGAAGGCCAGGGGTGACTCGTTGGCGCCCCGACTCCGATCGTGGAACAGCTGCCTGCAGTCCGAAGGCGGCCCATAGACGGCTGACAGCAGCTGCAACGCCAGGTGTAGAGTGGCGCGCTTTTCCCTCGGCGCCGAGGTGAGGGTAGCCAGGGCGTCGTTGTCCAGCATCGCTGGCAGCGCGCGTAGAGCCTCGGCGTCCGTCCAGTTCGCCATCTCTTGATGAGCGATGAACCGCCTCTTGAAGCCGCCCCAGTCTCCGTCAGCGCCGACAAATTCTTTAAGAGGCGGCAGACGCTGTTGTAAGGCGGCGTCCGTGGCCGCAGAACGCTCTCCGTCGCTCCCCGCCGATGATACAGTGTGGGCGGGCCGTGCACATGGCATCGCCGGTCGCTCTGATGTTGACGCGCCGGCCGGCGTTGATGATGTCACGGCTTGTGCTTGGCGCTCAGCAGACACGTGACGCGGGCCGGCCCCGCCCTCCGCTCGTACTGTAGAGATGGCGGGAAATTTGACCGCGAGCCGCGTCGGGGTGGCGGGAAACGTCGCCCCGCGCCGGCTGCCGTCGTCGACCCGCGCTGCTCCTCCAGCCCCCAGCCGCGTGATCTCCTCCAACGCGGCGGCCGCGGCGTAGAGCAGGTCCGCCAGGCGGGAGTGGGCCAGCCGGAGTCCTTCGGCCGACGCATCCCCCTCCTCCTGTCGTAGCGGCGCGGGCGTACTCGGCCCCGGCTGCTCCGATTCGACCCCGGCCATCACTGGTGGAGATTCGGCCGCGGCGTCTTCCATCTCCGTCTCCCTGGTACGTGTCGTCCCTCGTGTGTCCATCGTTGGACGTTTACTTCTGACACCAGATGTAGTAAGTATATATGGAGGCTTGACGACAGGATCGGAGGCACACTTATTTATTACACCAACACAGTTGTACAGGTCACTTGGCTACAGGGATTCTCGACAGCTAACCCCTCTAACCTATATCAATTCCTCCACTACGGGACTAGGGGAGGCTATCTGTCCCAGCTTGGTTAAGCTGGGATCCCGGCTCCCTGAGTCACCAGACCAGCTTCGTCTGGGCTCTCGGGGCCACGCCACCGGCTTGCCCTGGTCGGCCCTTATAAGGACAGCGAGCCAGGGGAGCTCTGGGGCCTACACTAGCTGGTCTTCCGTCTTCTCTGGTTAAAGCTGAGTCCCGACCTCGAGCCCTCGAGCTCATCACCTTTTATAGGACTCGCCCCCGAGGGGGGGCCCGTGGGGGATACACATGCGGACGTCGGTGCTAGCGCCACCCTTGTGTACGGCCGTAACCCCGCCCCTTGTGTTTGTTGGCCATCCGTGGCCATGCATAATCACACCTCAACATTCGTAGCCATGCGCAATTACACCTCTACACTAGTGGTGAGTGTGCTAGTGGTGAGTGTGCTAGTGGTGAGTGTGCTAGTGGTGAGTGTGCTAGTGGTGAGTGTAGTGGTGAGTGTACTAGTGGTGAGTGTGCTAGTGGTGAGTGTACTAGTTGTGAGTGTGCTAGTGGTGAGTGTGCTAGTGGTGAGTGTACTAGTGAGTGTACTAGTGGTGAGTGTACTAGTGGTGAGTGTGCTAGTGGTGAGTGTACTAGTGGTGAGTGTACTAGTGGTGAGTGTGCTAGTGGTGAGTGTGCCAGTGGTGAGTGTACTAGTGGTGAGTGTGCTAGTGGTGAGTTTGCTCGTGGTGAGTGTAGTGGTGAGTGTACTAGTGGTGAGTGTGCTAGTGGTGAGTGTACTAGTGGTGAGTGTGCTAGTGGTGAGTGTACTAGTGAGTGTACTAGTGGTGAGTGTGCCAGTGGTGAGTGTGCTAGTAGTGTTTGTCTATGTGTTTGTGTTCCTCCCTTGTGATGGGACTTTGTAGGATGAACTTTGAGATTTATAAGGGCACGAAGTGACTAATAATGTCTGAATTGGTCGGTAACAAGGTCGGCCACTGATAAGGAGTTGACAGGTGTGTAGTAGTGGAGTGTATAGTGTATTGTACAGTGTGTAGTGTCGTGTATAGTAGTATATAGTGTAGTGTATAGGATGAATGTAAGAGATTATATAAGGGCACGGGGTGACCAATAAGGGGCCGTCCATAAATGACGTCACGCAATTTTGGACGATTTTGACGCCCCCCCCCCCTCGTCACACGGCGTCACGAAAAGTCAGACCCCCCCTCAAATATGACGTCACAAAGCTCTGCCCCCCCCCCCCCCCAAAACCATATTTCCATTTTGAAAATAAAACACGCTTAAAATCGCTTTAAACTATTGTCATTGTAGTACGTATTTAATGTGGCGCTGCACTCTGATGTTGTAGGAGAAAACATTTATTTAAAAGTATATTTAATTAAGTAGAACGCGTTGTCTATATTTATTTAAAGTTGCGCATTTTTGATGTGACGTCACATTTCTCAAACCCCCCCTCGTCACAAATCGTCACAAATGTCTGACCCCCCCCTAGGTGCATGACGTCATTTATGGACGGCCCCTTATCCCTTGTGATGGGGCTTTGTAGGATGAACGTTGAGATTTATAAGGGACACGGGGTGATCAATACGGTCTGAATTTGTCTGTAACAAGGTAGTCCACTGAAAACGGGTTGACATGTAGTAGTGGAGTATATAGTGTATTGTGTAGTGTATAGTGTAGTGTATAGTGTAGTGTATAGTGTAGTGTATAGTAGTGTATAGTGTAGTGTATAGTAGTGTATAGTGTCGTGTATAGTAGTGTATAGTGTAGTGTATAGTAGTGTATAGTGTCGTGTATAGTAGTGTATAGTGTAGTGTATAGTGTAGTGTATAGTGTAGTGTATAGTAGTGTATAGTGTAGTGTATAGTGTAGTGTATAGTAGTGTATAGTGTAGTGTATAGTGTAGTGTATAGTAGTGTATAGTGTAGTGTATAGTGTAGTGTATAGTAGTGTATAGTGTAGTGTATAGTGTCGTGTATAGTAGTGTATAGTGTAGTGTATAGTGTAGTGTATAGTGTAGTGTATTGTGTAGTGTATAGTGTAGTGTATAGTGTAGTGTATAGTAGTGTATAGTGTAGTGTATAGTAGTGTATAGTAGTGTATAGTGTAGTGTATAGTAGTGTATAGTGTAGTGTATAGTAGTGTATAGTGTAGTGTATAGTGTAGTGTATAGTGTAGTGTATAGTAGTGTATAGTATAGTGTATAGTGTAGTGTATAGTAGTGTATTGTGTAGTGTATAGTAGTGTATAGTAGTGTATAGTGTAGTGTATAGTGTAGTGTATAGTAGTGCATAGTAGTGTATAGTGTAGTGTATAGTAGTGTATAGTGTAGTGTATAGTAGTGTATAGTGTAGTGTATAGTGTAGTGTATAGTAGTGTATAGTGTAGTGTATAGTGTCGTGTATAACAGTGTATAGTAGTGTATAGTGTAGTGTATAGTGTAGTGTATAGTGTAGTGTATAGTGTAGTGTATAGTGTAGTGTATAGTGTAGTGTATAGTGTAGTATATAGTGTATGGTGTCGTGTATAGTAGTGTATAGTGTAGTGTATAGTAGTGTAGTATATAGTGTATTGTGTAGTGTATAGTAGTGTATAGTGTAGCACACAGGATGAATCCGAAATTTTAAAAAAATGTTGAGTGGTGACATGACGTCATCAGGCGGCCACGCTATAAATGACGTCACGGCGTGGACCCACCACCCACCCACCACGTGTTTCCGGCCGAACAGCTGTTTACTGCGTAGCTCCAGTCGTCGGCTGCTCCCCGACCACCCAACCCCACCAAGTCGTGGTTGGGGCGGCCTTCTTCCACGGACAATTAAAGCCTTTTGAAACTAAGCTTTGACTTCTAGACGGGTTTAACAGCCACGTGAGCGATGGCGACCTGCGGCGTGGTGTCTTCCAAAACGTTCCTCATCTTCCTCAACCTCGTGTTCTGGGTGAGCGCGGAGAGCCGAGGTTGTTTGGTGGCGTCTCCTTCGATGGTGGTGGTGGTGGTGGTAGGAGGGAGGGTTCGGTTCTCCTGGTGGGACGTTTATAGCCCCTGATGTGGTGCCAATGTTTGTGTTCCGAGTGTGTTTGTTTGTGTGTTGTTCGTAGCCTTGCGAGTGCACACAGCCTGGCACAAGCGCCGTGGTGACGTCGCCGCCGCCGCCACCGCTTTAGTGGCGAATGGCGGTTGTTGTGGTTGTTGGTTGTCGTGGTAGTTGTGGTCGTTGTTGTGGTCGTCGTTGTGGTTGTTGTTGTGGTCGTTGTGGTTGTTGTTGTGGTTGTTGGTTGTCGTGGGAGTTGTGGTCGTTGTTGTGGTCGTTGTTGGTTGTTGTGGTTGTCGTTGTTGGTTGTCGTGGTTGTTGTGGTCGTTGTTGTGGTTGTTGGTTGTTGTCGTCGTTGTTGGTTGTTGTTGTGGTCGTTGTTGTGGTTGTTGGTTGTTGTGTAGCGTTTAGCGCGCTACGCCACGAACCCGGCGACCCGAGTTCGTCGATTCCCGCTCACGATCGATAAGTGGCGAATATCTGAACCTGGCTCGACTCAGAGCCTCAAATGAGCACCTGGTGCGGTGCGTGAACATCGCCACTGGGGAGACAAAGGCGGCCGGGTGTGGTACTAGCCGCCCACACCCCTCGTGTGCCGTGCCGGCCTTAATAGGTGCTCGCGAACAGCACTTGCCCCAAACTTCCCGTGTGCTCTGCTGTACTTGGGGCGATGTTAGCATTTGAATGCGTTAAAAACCATAATACCTGGAACTGTGGCACTTCACTTGAATGGCCTCAAAGTGCACCTAGCCTGGCACGCGTTTCGTGACGACTCCGTGACCCGGCGTTGAATGTCGGCTGTTTGTGATCGATGGCGTAGCCAGGTTTGGTTTGAGTCCCGATCATGATCGATAAGTGACGAATATCTGAACCGGTCTCGACACCTGGTGCGGTGCGTGAACATCGCCACTGGGGAGACAAAGGCGGTCGGGTGTGAAACAAGTATTTTAAGCGGCCAAAAAAACGTTTAATATCGAAAGCAATGTCTCTCTAGTCGTACAGGGTGCTGTGTTAGGCGATTATTTTTTTCCGGGGACACATGACCCTGAACTCTAAGGTTGTACCTGAACATTGTGGATGACAATTCGTGAGTCTGGCACGCTAATACTGAACATTAAGATATTCGCTAGCGTTCCTGGGTCTGGACCTCCGGAACAAAGTGGATTTATTAATATTGCACTAAGAATATTGAATAAGTGTTCCAGCAAAGTCTCTGTCCCACGCAGCGTTAAACTTTAACGTTGATCGCTAAGAATCAAACGAACCTGACCAGGAGCTGTCCTTCATTTTTATTCTTAGGTTTTTCGGTAAAGTCACGTAGGTAAAACATTAAAATTAATAAAAGTAAAATAAAATAAAAATCACGACGTTTGATTTTATTTTACTTTTATTAATTTTAATGTTTTACCTACGTGACTTTACCGACAAACCTAAGAATATGAATCCTTGCAGTCACGAAAGCTTCAAATCTAGAACTGTCCTTCATTGTTTACGGATCAGAAGCAGGAGTGAGAACTTTCACTTTACAATTCCAAGGGACCAGGAGGTCTGTCCATAGGACAACCGCTTGACTACTCACAACGTGGTACTCATTTTATCAACCACGGAGGAATCATGATGGGTCAAGTTCACCCGCATTTGGGATTTGCAACTCGTGATCTCCTGATAGCGAGTCGTGCGTTTCTGATCATTGTGCCACATCGTTGTGTTTCACCCATATTAAGGCTCATCAGTTTAGTGAAGCTCTGTTTTCACTTATTGCAATATTGTGCCTTTCCACTATTCAGCTGTTCTCCCAACCTGCACTTATCAGTGTGGTGAAGTATGGTCAAATGACCGCCCTGCAGCCTGCATGGCATAGGGAGCAGAGGTCGCAAACGGGTTTTGATTCCTTACTCGGCCGCACCAGGGTCGCAAACGGGTACCCGTACCCGGCCGTACCCTACCCGTACCCGGCCGGGTAGGGGTACGGGTATCGGGTACCTGATTGCGACCTCTGGGATGAAGCCATGTTGCAGGCGCGGGTGGGTTGATTCTAGGAACTTGAATTGTGAGAAGAGACAAGACGTTGGGCAATGAGTGACAAACAGTTACCAGTGACTCACGGTCTACCCGTACCCGGCTGCACCAGGGTCGCAAACAGGTACCCGTACCCGGCCGGGTAGCCGGGTATTGGGTAGGGTACGGGTACCCGGTTGCAACCTCTGATAGGGAGGCACTGATCCAGCAGTGGCTTGCAAAGAGTCTTCAATACATTACTATTGCAATGTAAAGATAATGGTACAGCCGTTAAATTGTAATATTGTATCAGTACACTATGGGCTGCTTACACGATGGACTGCACAACTTCCATTGAGATGATGAGTCCACTAATCTTGATCAAAACGGGTGGCTCAAGTAGCTTATGACCATGTCCGAGTAATTATGCTGACATCACTAAGTCTCTAAATGTTGGTTTCAGCTGCCTATAATTAAACTTGTAATGAGGTTTATGGTCTCAGCCTGTTCACCAATGACTATTACACAATAAGTAATCGCATCAAATGTGGTGATTGCTTAATTTGTCCTTCATCCCTGTGAACTGAACAGTTTGCGTTGCTTGGCATGTGAACACCAGCATATCGGTGGCAACCACATATTGTGACTAAGAGGCAATTGATGGGGCTTTGAAGTAGTTATGTGAAGTCCTCTTTCATGGCCCATCTATGACACGTTATGTAGTCTCACTGCTCTCTGCTCGATTTTCCAATGGAAATGTTTTCCGTTTCTTGCCAAGTTTTACAAATGTCAACGCAGTGGCTTCTTGCTCAAGTTGGCATGGGACAGGGCTCGTCTGCATTGACCATCCAGAGCCAGTGATGGCAATTCTGCATTTTACTGGTGGGGTCTATCCATGTGACCATCGTGGTTATTTTTTTTAGCCTGTAACCAAATTACCCAGAATGTTGGCCAAATATTGTCAGCTTTCGGAAGCTACGAAGTGCTGAGCATGGAAGCGAGTGCTTTGGATAGGTGACAAACTTGCACAAACAGGTTGTCGATAGGCTCTGGGGCCACGAGGTAGGAATTGGAGCACAGTGCAGCAAGAGCCATTGTATTTCTATGCTCGTCACCTTCAACCTGTACCGACCAGCGCGGCGAAGTATGGTCATGATATCTCCCACGATCTGCGTGGTGTAGGAAGGACCTCATCGACCAGTGCACTTACAAAAAATGCCACGCTTGTTATTTTTTATGTGTGTTTTTTTTTATCAATGTGGGATTTGAAGACTCCAGGCAGTAATCCAGCCAGAAAAACGGTTAACTAATGTCGAGTATGCTTTGTTAGATTTGTATCCTTTCGAGTAAAAATCAAGTTTAACGTGTTTTTTGCATGGTCATTGGTGACCTTGCTGAGACTACTCTCTGCACATGACAACCCCATTTTTAACCATGGGTGAGCGGCTGAAACCCAGTTTGAACCCAGGATCTTGTCAGCGCCGGTTCGGTTTCTCAAAGCAACCCTGATCTGTACACTTGTTAGTGGCCATATAGATGTGTTGGCTGAGCTTTGAACCGACACGTTATATGAAGTGCACACGACTAATAGCAGAGGTTATGTTTGCGCTTGTGTGTGACACAAGTTTGTTTACCTAGACCGTGTCGACAATTTTCTCTTGCGCTCCCGGTGGGGTTGATCAGGAAAACTGCCATTAGGGTTCTATCCTGGCGGTCCACTTGACTCACAATGAGAAGGTCAAAAGTTTAAATAAAAGTTGTAGTGCGTTGATTGGGTCCTGACTTGGTCCGACCGATAGTGTTTTTCTCCCCCCCCCCCCCCCACCACTTCTTGCAGAGATTTTCGGTCTGAGTCCCAAAGCCAACTAAGCAATAATAAAATTACGCTGCAGTCTGCTTCACAGCGGCGAATGTCAACAGATCGAGTTGCATTATTCAAAACAAAGAGTAGTAAGGGCCATGTGTGCTGGTGTTGTGTTGTGCCGGGTCGTGACCAAAGTGGGCTCCTGCAGGTGATTTCTGGGCCTTTTTCGGGAAGTGGTATTTTGGCTGTGCCAGAGGTCTTGCTGCCTTACGATATGTCTAAACAATGTTGGTTGCTGTACTGTGGTTAATAGGAAAGCTCCCATGAATAACGATCAGAGTTGATCTTTTTAAAATCCTTTATTAAGTTCACTTGCTTGCTTGCTTAGGACCGTGCAAATCTTTCGGTCGTTTTTTAACCCACTTCCCGTCATCCAATCGAGTTGACATTTTGCACACAGACTCGTTGTGCGTGACAATTAATGTTCGTGAAATTTTTTTTCAAAAATTTTACACTTTAGGACAAAAATATTATATTTAATTACCAATTGCTTAATGGTGCAATGCAATCATCTGACCCATAGGTGGCAGCCATCTCAAGCCAGAGGACGAGAGGACTCTAGCCGCCACGCATATAAAGGATTTATAGTGAAAAACTTTGTTTTTACTGGTTATACTTATTCAATATCCAGCACCCATGAGGAATGTGGAATTTTTTTCTGTCGTCGTCAGGGCCACGCAGGGAGATATGAGCATTGCTCCACGTTGCTTAAGCAAAGCGGCATTTTTACAAATTAGAAAATTCACCCCCCAACTTACTCGTTTGGAGAAAATGCGTAGCTGTCGTCCGCCACTCGCTGGAAACTTAGTAGGACCGTCTTAAAGAAAAAAAATTGACAGCTGAGTCTTTCCTGGGTAAATGAAAAAAGGAAAATTGGAGATTGGGGTCAACATCAGGCCTTGGGTCAATTGCAGTTATAATTGCATCCAATGAATTACAGTCACAATGTAGTTGGGTCTATAATTTGAGTGCTGCTGTGTTTATAGTTATAATTGACTCCGGGTCTATTCGATGTAGCCCATCGTCCCTTGGGGCCATAAATTAAGTGCCTTTTTTAAGTTATCAGTGGCCATCGTATATAGGAGTGTGAAATTGCCACCGCTGGCTAAGACCTACAAAGATGACAGTTTTTCAGGGAGATGCTTGGGCTTCTGGTGCCAGATGGGTTGTTGCATCGTGAGACACTGGGGGGAGGTCTTTTATCCAGCAGCGAATTGATCATGGGTGATAATGAAGCCTCGTCGTCATTCGAGTTTATTTCACCATGTACTGGAACCCCATTTGGACAACACGTGTCGCCCACAAGGGTGACCCTAGTCATGACGGGACAGCAGGACACTGCAACCTGATACACGCGGAGCTAAAAACAGACTTGTAACTTAACCGTCGGGGTGTGCAGTACATATCAAAACATTGGGAAACGCTTCGCAGCATTGTTCTGTTGAATTAAAACATAAAATTGAAATAAATTGGAAGGAGCGGTGGTGCAGTGGTTAACGCACTGCACTATAAACCTGGTGACCTTGGTATTGTTTCCTGCCCGCCCCTAAGATCGGTGTCAATGGCGAGGGTTATCCGGTCCTGGATATCTCGTAGGTCGACTCGGCCTTAAATGAGTACCTGGTGCGGTGTGTAAACATCACCACTGGGGAGACGAAGGCGGCCAGGCGTGGTGTTGGGCACTTTCCTCCTCGTTCGTGTACCGTGCCAACCTTCATAGGTGCTTGCTAACAGCACTTGCTCCAACAGTCTGTTAAGGCTTTATGGGGGATGTTTTGTTTTTTGTATATGGGTGCAATAGCATTTGTGATTATTTATTCAAACTACTACATTTTATTTAGCAGGTAAAGCCCACTGAGCTTATTAGGGAACCAAGTTGGTGGAGAGATAAAATGGGATTCTGTGAGCTGGCAAGTGCCTTGAATAAAAACTATAGTTGGGGAAATCTTTCTAAAAAAGCGAAAAAAAAAATATTTCACCAGGCAATGCCCACTGAGCTATTATACATCTCTTTTTCAGAAGCAACCTGGCCACAATGATAGCTTCATCGAAGTGGCTTATCTGCAAATTTATAGCAGCGAAATACAACGCACGTTTCTAAATTAGGAGGAAAAACCTGACCTGGAGAAAAATCCACGTGACCATTGTGAGAACGTGCAAACTCCAAATATGCAGGCGTCAGGGTTGGACCGAACTCGCGACCTTCTACATACCAAGCGAGGGAGATAACATCTGGTCATCGCGTGTGTGCGTGTGTGTGTGCGAGCAGGCAGGTGGTGGTAATCCTGTGCTATATCGGCGCCTACGTGTTCATCACCTACGACAGCTACCAGCACTTCCTGGAGGACCGCTACGCGCTGTTGGCGCCGCTGGTGGTCGTCGCCGTCGGCATCTTCCTGTTCGTCGTAGGCATCGTGGGCTGCTGCGCCACCGTGCGCGAGAGCAAGTGCGGCCTCTCCACGGTGAGCGTGCAGCAAACTGCAAACCGCCATGGCGCATGTCCACGACCAGAGGATTTGTCCTTAAGTCCGGCGTGCTATGATGTCACTCGCTCGTCCTGAATGTCAACCCGGCCAAATAGCTCGGTGGTGAAGCGAGCGGCGAGCAGCCGGAAGGTTGCGAGGTAAAATGCTCGTTGAGGTTGACTCGTCCCCATCATCCCTCCGTGGTCGATAAAATGAGCTCCACTTTGTGGGGGAACTCGTAATTTCTGACACTGGCTCGTGGCCATCTGTGTAGATGATCTCGACCCACTGCATGTAAGAGCAGCGAGTCAAGTTTTTCGAAAGCAGTTCAATGTGCATATACGAAGCAGGGATACCAGACATGGTTGGCAAGTGTACGTCCGGAAAGCCCGTTGGTTGATTTGTGTTTTTTTATTTTTAGCTGTGCTGTTATGATAATTATTTTTTTCTCTCGTCATTAACAGTTTTGAAGACTGTAACTGTTTAATTTGTCTTAACAAATCTGCGGCGTGTAACTTTTTTGGCAAATGCTGTTATACAGAAAGCAATTATCTGCTGATATACAGCTGCACATCTAGGCTTCGTGCCCTTGGCAGTCCTGCAAGGGTTCTGAAAGCTTTGTTGGTGAGAATTTGAAGCATTTCAACATCTCAGTCGTGTGATGTGCGGGGGGTAGCGCCCTCTCGTGGCATCAAGCCCAGCTGGAGTCCTCTCTCTGCCACTTATCACCCCGACTGACCACATGGTGCATGCTGAGAGCCATTCTGCCATGGCTTTTCTGGGGGGGGGGGGTCCCTCTGATTTTCCTCCCTAGCTAAACATGTACAACATAATCTGTGTTGGTCAAAAACATACATATGCGCCTCCGATTGGCACTGCTGGCTATGTACGGTGCGAAAGGAGTTCAACATGCACATGTTAGCAGTACCCCTTTTGAAAAATAGTCTTTGGGCTTTTTGTGGCTTTCCTGGGATAAATAACGAATAATTATTATTATTTTTGTCTAGGAAGCCCAGTGCGTAGTGGGGGGGGGGAGGGTTTAAATCGTAATGGCAAAGCTGTGAAATGTGCACGGCAGCTAGCATTTTAGAGGTGAATTGGCCGTTTGGTTTAAGTTACAATAGCGGATTTAAACGGCAGAGTGACTGCGGTGATTGTTTACATAACGTAAGCAAATGGCACACGGTTGTTTTTTGGGGAGGGTTGGGGAGTTTGTTCTTTAAATCTCAGTTGCTGAGCACAGGAACCAAAGGCACAAAACGCCAAGCCGTCAGAAACAAACGGCACTGTTTAAGTAGTAAGAATTGAGCAAGGTTTTGGAATTTTCAACGCTGGCTTGGGACCATTGGTGTAAAGAACACCCTACCCCTGCTGCTTGTGTAGTAGTTTAGGTTTTTAAATTTCGAGGCTATTTGCCGTGTTTGGAAATTATTCGTCGGGAAGACCGATTTTTGACTGAAGTTTGTCATTTTAGTTTCAGCAAGGAGACTTTTGAACCGTTTGCTTCGTCTGTGACGCAACCAGAAGACGCTGTCGCGTTACTCCCGACAATCCTTTCCGAAATGAGACTGGGGAGAATTCCAGAGTTGGGAGTTGAGAGGAACGAAGCACCGTCTTTCAATGAAATCCCTGGTCTCTTAGATTTTTATTTTTTTGTCTGCTTGCCAAATACATTTTTTTTTCCCCAATTGCACCGTCGGTTTCTTGTCGTGAAACGCGCGGGGCCTGATGCGTATAGAATTAGTTTTTCACACTTTTGTGGAATTTGCCGCACATGCCAAAATGTTTAAAACTGTTAATTATCTTGGGCTGGAATGTAGTAAAAAAATTCGTGAAAGATCTCATTTTAACGTGCTGGGCAATTATCGTGAGACTAGGCTGAGAGCAACTGGCCTACTTTTTGATATTCTGTTTGTGTTCGTCACAGTTGCCAAGCACAGGTCACAAGAAGGCGCTGCAGGCAGCGACAAACCACACTTGGATTTGTAATAGGCGTTGATGCGTTTTTTTTATTTGAGCTCGGAATATAATAGTTAGTTTTTTTTATTTAAAGCTTTCGTGACTGCAGAGATTCATATTCTTGGTTCTTTCGGTAAAGTCACGTGACTTTACCAAAAGAACCAAGAATTTAATTAGTTTTTTGATAACAGATGGTTGTACAGAATCTCTACGTTGTCAGCTCTGTGTGACCGCTGAGCCACCCTTGCTTCACCTGCCACGTGGTGCACTGCTGTCGCACCGACTGCGTTGGCAGGTTTGCGCAAGCTGTGTTCCCATTAAGCGCCGAAATCCATCCACCCACCCAGGGGCCAGGTGTCAAACTTGACGCTTTCCTCCCACGTGCGTTGAGGTTTCCCGTTCTCCACAGCGAGGGGAACGGTTTCCTGCCCCCTCGGGTGGGAGAAGCGAGGGAATTTGTGGGCGTCGTTGTCGACAGCTGTGAAGTTTGAAGGCGCTAAATTTTGGCGCTTATTTGCGTGAGAGAAAGCGAAAGTTTGGGTACCCAATGGGGCCATCGCGAGCATTTGCACGGGAACATGTTACGCAGCATGCATAATAATAATAGCGATGAGTAAAAAAAAAATTCAAACAATGTTCCGTAATGAATCTTTCCATGACTCGTACGTTCAAATTGTACACTTGAAAATGCGATTCCAAGCAAGCTTTTTTTTTTGTCATCGTCATCGGCCAAGGTCAATCCACTGCTAGATGAAGGCCTCCCTAAGTTGCTGCCTCCCCTCATGATCCTCCATTGTAATAATTATCCACCTGTCACATGCGCACAAACTGAATTTTAATCGAAATTAATCGAACAGCAATTCTTCTTGACCTGCGGAGTCAAAATTATCACCAGCCATTGCCTCCCCACCACAGCTCGTGATCCTGCAGTGTAATCCAACCAGCTTTAGATTTCATCGCTCCATCTCCTTTCCAGACATCCCCTCAAACGCGTTCCCAAGTGTAGCGTGGTGATGATCTCAGCCTGGTGACTGACGAATTAAAAAAAAAAATCACATAGAGTTTTATTATGTAAATTTGGCTGAATTTCTGAATCTCAGAAAAGGAAACTATTGGTTTGACTCGTGTGGTGCACATAATTATCACATGTGGAGCGTGAAAAAAGTGCTTCTCTCTTAGTGTGTGCCAGAGGTTGATTTGAAGGCATCTCTGATGTAGCTCTCTCAACTTCTGAGGGCTTTTCTTTAGCAGGAAGGGTTGTGGCACTGCGGGAGCTGGAAGCAAATGTACTTTGTCTCGTGGCATGATTCTGAAAGCAGAATCTTGATTTGATCAATTTGGTGGGAAGGGGGGAGATAAAAAAAAATCTAACAATTCTGAATTTATAATTGACCTATCGGCGTCGTGTCACGAGATTTGGAAAAGTTTTTATTGGCGACTGTCCGAGCGAGCGGCGTGACATCGCACTGTGTGAGCAAACAATCCTGGAGGCCGTTGCGTCTCTAAGCGTGGAATAATGTTAAGGGCCCTCTTTAACACTAGGTGGTGCGTCTGCACGCGCGGCGAGAAAATCGTTGCACGGTGTGCCAATAAAACGCCACCTGTTTAGCCCACAGAGCTGGAATGAGACGAGCCGAAAATAAATAACGAACTGATTGTGACTCCAATGTGCGCTATATAGCCAGGAGATTCCTGCATGAAATGTGGGTTTTTATTTCTCCTGGATTATTGCCACTGTTTAAAATCTCCGTTAATGTCGGAGGGATTCCAACCGTAAAGCTGGTACATTAGCATGTGGCTCAGTGGCTCTGGCATGGCCATTATGAGCCCCCCTAAGCCTCCTATTTGGCCACCACCTCAAGTGCCACCCATCATGAGTTCCCAATGCATTCCAAGACGACTTTTGTATTTTTATAAAGGATTAGGTTCCAAGAGGCTACATATAAATTTGTAGTATTTCCTTGGTCGCGTACAAAGGCTTGCGTTTCTTACTAGAGGGCACAGAAAATGTTCGAGGTGACCTTGGGCTGGCATTTTTGTGCAATTTGTAATGTACGATTTTGCTTGCCTACATGGGGAAACTGTGATACAGTGCACAGTCGTTTGTCCCTTGAGCGATGACTTGAGAACTGTTTACGGAAACATTATTTTCATTTGCCTCTCTGTTCCGTAGAAGCAGAATGTTTCCTTCTCCCAGCGGCGCTCCATATCCTGCCTCGATATTGATTGTGTCCCGTGTGTGTGTACGTGTGCGCATGTCTGTTTGTCCAAGTGATCGATAACTAAACACAAAAAATACAAATAACCTTATTAGGAGTGTCGGATGGCTCTGGGAGTGATGATAACAGCGGCGTTAAAACACGAAGCCACACATTTTTGAGAGCCTGGGTTTGAATCCAGATTTCAGCCACCCGTGATTAAGCTAGGTTCTCGGTGTCGTAATTTTCATGGTCTCGGGCCCGTTATTAATTGCTCCATGGGAAAATCGATAAAATATTTTTTTCCACTTCTCCTTGGCCTAGCCCAACTCTTGTTTAGCTAAAGATAAAAGTAATGACCTTTCAATCCTGAGTCCCAAACCCTGTACCCATTATGCTCCAGGCCTGTTTATGTACATGCACAGATATATAAATTCTCGTGTACATAAATTCACAATGAATTGATCTATTTTCATCTACCCTCAAACGCACACTGCGAGAATTAACATTATTTGGACGAATTTGTGTGTGAACTAATGCTGCTGAAATTATGCATTCCCAGTAGGCCGTATGGCTGATGGGATGTCCTAAAATACTTTTATCTGGGAGGCGTTCATCGCAGAAGGGAAGGATGTGGTGTTTTTTTTATTCTCTTAGTTTTTTCAGTAAAGTCACGTAAAAAATATTAGGACAAGGCTGTGAACTATTGCTGTTAGTGAGCTCCTATTAAGGCCATGGCACACCATTGTGTTGGTGTAGCAAGAACCCGTAACTCCCAGCCACTTATCATCAATACTGATAATGACGACCTCCCCTTATCACTAGTTGATCAATTGGCCACCTATTGACTTTATTTGACCCGAAGCAAACCCATTGATGGATTGTCTTTGGCTCGGGTGGCTTAAGTCGACGAGAGAAGACTGCGACGGTGGCGGCGGCGGTTGCACAGGGCAGCTGAGACACGAGCACGCACTGCTAACGACGCATCACACAGGCGAAGCTGCGTTTTCTTGTTAGCGGCAGACGCCGGTTGTCAAAGCTGGCGAGGAGGAGAGCCATTCTCCCAGCAATTACTCGCGTGGTACTGCCACGCACGGTGCAGCAACAAGTCACGGCGTCAGCGTAGGTCACAACAGAATGCTGTTGACGGTTAACCATTGCAATGGTAAACAAATGGCGAGGCGACATTCCGAACTCTGCTGGTTAAGACATCGCTCGCCAGCTGATGTTGGTCGTGGCCGAGGAATCAAACTCTGGTTGCTGGGTTGGGAGCGCAGTGTGCTAGCCACTGTGCCACCACTTCACCCTGAATGTGTTTTTTTTTGTAAACTAGATGTAATATGTATTTGTTAACCTCCAACCCCCTGATCTTTTTGTCACCTCTCCACTGCAGTTCTTCATCCTCCTGCTGGTGATCTTCTCCCTGGAGGTGGTGGCTGCTCTCCTGGGCTACGCGTACAGAGGCCAGGTACGGGAGACGTGCAGAGACGCGTACACTTGGCAGTCCTCGTTGAGATGCGTGGCTTCAGGGATGACTACCAGGTCCCCAAAACACCGGAACTTAAACGAGTTGGCATACATTTTGGCGGCCATGGGGCCAGACGTTGCCCGCGGAGGCTCCTGCAGTGTCCCACAGAGCAGTGGTTCACCGACAGATACAGATTGAGATGGAGAAATTAACTAATAGATGAGAGCGCTGTAGACAAGCGATACTCATTACGCGGTCGCATGTACAGATCGGATGTTCGTTTGCGTACACCAAGGAGCAGGCCATTTTCTTGGTTCTTTCGGTAAAGTCATGTAGAATGGAAATAATAAAATAATAAAAATGAAACGTAATAAAATAATTATCACGACGTTTCGGCCACAACCCGTTTTACCAACAATTACAGAGTCTGCCAACGAGAGACGTTCCATCTCGAGGGATTTTCCACGTGGAATATTTTTCCAATTAAAAATTTAACAAAACTTTGCTAAGCAAATGGTGACCACAGGATGATGAAAAGATAAAAATATGTATATACACGCTTTGTGAGTTCTGTTTGTACGATTTAGCGTATATGCGGCGAACCTACTTCTACACAAAGTTCACTATGCGGTTTGAAATCGCTCGTGAGGCTGTGGTTGGACAACACTGTGCTGTATGTGCCTACTCGTGTGTTTTTCCCTTGTGCGACAATTTTTGGAATGCATCTACCGCATAAAGCGAGGGGAACCCCGTACATTAAGTTTAATGTTTGACGTTTTTAATATTCTATTAGCTGCAGTTTTTCAAAAGGGGCACATTTTTGAAGGTAAGCTATCAACGCTCGTGTTTAATTTATACGCATATTTTTACATAAAAAAACCCTTGTGAATAATCCATGGGGGTGCGTCTGCCCTTCGCTGCTGTGTAAAACAGCCGTGTGATGGCCGGGGAGTGACATTATTTTTAGATGTCACCCAAGAGCTCATTAATATTAAGGATTAATGATCAATTTTTACATTTTCCAGTTCGGATTTTGGAGTTAATTTCTTTAATTATAGCATGCAAATATGATTTTTTTAAATCGATTATTGGTTTGGCACACCTATCGAAATGTCCAAATGATTGTCCCAGCCTCTCTTGGAGCGTGGAGAGCGGTAGTGGAGTGGTTGGCGCACCGTTTCACGACTTCCAGCGATCCGTTTTCAGTTCCCACTTACGACCAACAACAGCAACGAATATCTGAACTCGTCTTGGCCATGCCCTAGGTGGACTCGACCATAAATGAGTACCTAGTGCGGTGTGTAAAGCATCAGCACTGGGGAGGAACAGTAAATGGGGCATAGTGCAGGCCATTGGGCAAAATTGTGCATGGCTACATGGGGGGGAGGGGGGCGGGGATCCTTTTTTCACCATACCACGTGATGACTGATGGGCTCCGTCGCTGCTCCCTTGCCATGGTGACCGATCGCGTTGGAACACGTCGTGCATTTTTTTAACGTTTGCGGGTACGAATCTGTTCAATCGTTACTAGAATTGAAATTGATTTGATTTACCTAGTCCTGGCTTGTTGCAATCGATAATAAATTCTTAAAACAATGATTGAACAATCGATGATATAATTGGTTAACAACTGCTAAAATACACAGTCGAACCGAGGGTTCATAAAAAAAAAGTCAGATTTGTGTGGATATCAAACACTAAGTAAGCTCAAATAAAACAAATTGTAGTTTATGAGAAAGGTCTTGTGCTGGCTTGTGTAGCTTTTTTGGTTTTTTCTTGTTGGCTTAGCAAGTCGTAATATAAATAATACGTCTGCTGTCCATCCTGTTGGTGGCTTCTGCTCTGGGAAGTGGTTGCCAATGTTTGACTCGGACACTGGAGTTCTGAGAATTTTATCCGTAAACCAAAAACACATTCCTGCGGAGGGAGCTGGTAGGAACGTTGGGTTGCTCGGTCAATGGCCAGGGTCAACGGCGGCGTGGTGTATTCCGCAAATATGGCCGACTGTGAGGGCGGGCACAAGCCGGCGTGAGTAGGTTAAACGTTGAGTTTTATAAGGGCACCACGGGTGACCAGCCCCTCCCCACCCAGCCCCACCCAACCCTCCCCTCCACACCTGGCCCCTCCCCACCCTCCCTTCCCCACCCAGCCCCTCCCACCCCACCCAGCCCCTCCCTGCACGACGGACACAATAATCCCCTGTGGGCTGGTGGAACCAGGAGGTTCCTACCAGTATAAAATATACCTTTTAATATGGATGTCGAGCTTTGATCATTAAAACAACTGAACTTGTGAAGTGACTCTCAGACGCACTGCCATGGCTTGCTAGTGAAATCACTGCAAGTGATGTTGCATTACAAAGTAACAGAACTACAAGCCTCTTGTCACTGGCATTTGATTTGCAGTCAGTGTGTGTACATGCAAACCCCATTTTTCAGTCCACCGCTGCATGACTGTCTCTGTACCAAGAAGCTCAAAGAGATTTGCGCATTCTAGATTTGAAGTTTTCGTGACTGCAAGGATCCATACTCTTTGTTTTTTTCCGGTAAAGTCACGTAGGTTAAAAGAAAAAAAAAATTAAATGACGACGTTTCGGAGGCAACACAAGCTTCCGTCTTCTCGTGGAACCGTCACAGCAAAATTACTATATCAAGTGAAGAGAGCTCTAAGAGACAAGACCTTATATACTGGTTAAGGGGAGGGGGGAGGAGCCAGGATGGGCCGTGGGGGGGGGGTGTAAGCTAGTGAGATTTGCCCATGTTTAACCGCGCAGTGCCGGTTGCCGTAGGCTGTAAGCATAGACGTGTTGGGGTGGCGACTCTGATACGACCATTGAACCCTCCTGAGTCACCCAGCCGCGTACGAACCACTTCCCGTTCCGATGACCTACGTTACGTCATCGGTTATTCTTCCAATTCTGATCCGATTTTACGCACGTTTAAAATCATTGGAACGGAACCGACTACGATTGGAGTCGAATTGACTCCGAACGGAATCTGAAGTAAGAGGTCGTGCGGGAGAGTGTGTGGCACAGTTTTGGCGCCAGCTATCGTGCGGTCGTGTCGCTACAGTTTTCTGCAGCAAGTACAGTACAGTGTCTTTTTAAAACAGCGGCGCTGCGCCTCTAAATTAAATGAATGCTAACCGCTTGCGCGGTCTGAGATTCCGAGGTGAACGGGACACCCACCCTGCGACTTGCAGACGTCTCTCTGAAAGGGTTACTCTCCCGCGCCGATTGCATTGCAGGTGAAGGACAAGGTGGAGGGGACGATCTCTCAGGTGTTTGAAGAGTACAACGGCACAGACTCCAACACGGCCAGTCGCGCCATCGACTACGTGCAGCGTCAGGTGAGTGCACCAGGCATTCGGTGGACATTGGAAGGTGACGGTTAAAGCTGCAGCCGTATGCGTATTTTGTTCTTGCGCTGTTGCTGGCGGAAGGAGTTCTGGAGAAGCCCCTCTGTAGAGGGTGCTTTGGGCCTATTCTTTCATGCACACGTCTTGGAAGAGTTGAGTACTCGCACTGGATCTGGGGGGTAGTGGCACACCGCGCTAACATTTTTTTAAATTCCCAGCCCACTAGCAGTGGTTCGTGATAATTCGAATCGGTCGTGGCCCACCCCTAGGTCCACTTGGCCTTTAATGAGTAGCTAGTGCCACGTGTGTGATCATCGGCACTGGGGAGACAAAGGTACCATCATGTGGCACTGGCCATGCCATGTGTTTTCAAAACATGTGAACACGTGCGTGTGTGTATTTCAACGTTTCCTTTGAGTGTGTATCAATGTTTGTGTTCACTTTGTAGGTGTCTTGGCCGTCATCGGTGATCTCTAACGGCACTTGCCCCAAGAGTCTGTAGGCTACTTTAGGGATCTTTGTGTGAAATGTGTTGCGTGTTTAGCGGGGAGCGGTAGTGCAGCATTTGGCGTGCTGCACTACGAACCCAGTAATTCCTGCTCACGCTGAACACAGGTGACGATTATCAGGTTCTGGGTCTCCCCTAGGTCTACTTGGCCTCATGAGTACCTGGTGCGGTGTGTAAACATTTCCACTGGGGAGACAAAGGCGGCCGGGCGTGGTGCCAGCCAACCACCCCAACTCGTGTGCTGTGCCGGCCTCATAGGTGCTTGCTGAACAATTGGCCTCAACGGCCTGTTAAAGGCAACATGAGGGGATCTTTGTGTTTTGTCATTGTGTTTAGCTCAAGTGCTGTGGCGTCAAAAACTACTCGGACTGGATGGATCGTCCGTGGTTCAATCGCACGGGCAACAACAGCGTCCCCGTCAGCTGCTGCCGGAGCAATGTCACCCACTGTGACGGCAACATGAAGCATCCGAGGGACATCTACAATGAGGTGACGCAGCAGCAGCAGCATCATCAGCAACAGCATTATCAGCATCGATGTCTTTGTTAATTTGGGCACTTTTCCTTGTGGGTTGCATTGGGAGTTCTTACTGGGGACGTGAGCATTAATATAGGTTGCACATCATGCGCAGCAGGAAATGCGTCTTGATTGGTCATGTCGTAGTGAGACGGAACGGCTTGCAGAAGGAGATGATCGATTGTTTCGGGAAAATAATGGAGGTGCCACACCACGTTCGACACGGGAGCGGTGTACGGACAGGTGAAAAGTGCAGCGGGGGAGGTGGAGGAACGTGGAGGCGATCATTGTTGCCTCGGACCCATCTACAGATGGAGCGCTTGCCAACAATGACGAATCGCCAACCGTTGCAATCGTCCCCTTTAGCTTGAGCAGCGGAATTGTCGGAAACGGCAGCTGCACTAGCGTCACTGTTAACGGCGGTAACGTAGTCGTGTCTATTTATACGTGGCTTGTTTTTTGCATATTGCATTTCGAAAGTCTGCAGAATTTTGTAACCCGCGCCGAGGCGTGGGTAACCATGGGCAAGTGGGAAGGCAGCCAGAAGCGGCGCAACCAAAAATTTTCCAAGTTCTGTGGTCCTATATTTGGATGCTTGGCCAAATCTAATGATTGTCTTTAAAATATTTTTTTTTACAAAAACTTGCAGTGTAATCCACCAACCCTCTCCTCCGCAGTGTTTAGTTGCAGGCACGCAGCGTAACCACCAGCAGTCCGCTGGACGATCATCGTTATCTTTAGCAGCAGCGACAATAATATTAGCGGCATCATAAAAATCGTCCTTCACAGCGGCAACACAAAACTAGTTATTTTCACATTTTGTTCAGAGCTACATGTCGTCCTCATCATGGTGATCACAGTTTGTAGTTTCCTATCGTGTTTATTTTGGGTCAGATTGTCGTGAAGGTGTACATTTTTAATTTGAAAAGTATAGCCCTCCACCACCTGACAGAGCCAATGTAACAGATGTCGCAAACGGGTTTTGATTCCTTACCCGTATCCGGCCGCACCAGTGTCGCAAACGGGTACCCGTACCCGGCCGGGTAAGGGTAGGGTACGGGTATTGGGTACCTGATTGCGACCTCTGGGATGAAGCCATGTTGCAGGCGCGGGTGGGTTGATTCTAGGAACTTGAATTGTGAGAAGAGACAAGACGTTGGGAAATGAGTGACAAACGCTGACTCACCAGTGACTCACGGCCTACCCGTACCCGTACCCGGCCGCACCAGGGTCGCAAACGGGTACCCGTACCCGGCTGGGTACGGGTAGCCGGGTATCGGGTAGGGGTACGGGTATCGGGTACCCGGTTGCGACCTCTGCAACGTAATCACTTTGACACCTGGGCAACGGAGTTGTTTTTTTGTCGACAAACCAGAATAATGTTGAATAGCAAGCAAAATTGACAGTTGTGTGCAGCATGCCTACACGATGTAACCCAAGAGAAACCGCTTGTGAATCGTGACACTGAACGTTGCAAGTCTACGTATGAAATTGCTTTCATCATGATTAACATGGTTTCAAATCATCATCATCTTTGTGAGCATTGCACCATCGCAATGATCCTTAACAGAATGTGCACATTGTAAAAAAAAAAAAACTCGCATGCAAGCGGGCGGCACTGCATTATCCACACGCCATCGCAATCCCGCTTGCTCAATTGCTGCCTGCTGGCCCACCTCTCTCAGTACGGAGCACACGCTGATCTCCCCAACGTCCACCAACGCCTTCGTGTGAAGAGGTTCTGGATTTCTGTCAACGTGCCATCCAACATCATCTCTCGTCGGCCACAACCGGACTCCTGTCACTAATTTGCGTTTTTTTTTAAGAACCGGTTGCGTTGTTTAATTGCATTATTGAGTTGCTTTTGGGGTGACGGCTTCTGAAATTTCCGATTTTTGCGAGCGATGGAAAATTTTACGCCTGTCATTTACACAAAAGGGTGCCGATGCCGCTGATGATAGCGCCTTGAATTAACGTACAAAAACACCGCCTTTCCACCCCCCACCACGCACGGCTCTCCGCAAAGAAGAGAAACCCTGCATGCGGGAATATAATTGGGATCCGGTGTCATGCGTGCGTGCGTGCGTGTATTCCAAAAAGATATGGACGTGTACCGAGTGACGGTTTAATAATGAGGCTGCTTTAGCACAGGCGGGAGTGCTTCTTTTGTTAAACCGAGCACGTAACGGTCTTAAAGAGGTGCGCTCGGTTTGCCTGCTGGAAGCCAAACGCGTGCACGAGGGGATAGGACCAGGAAGTCTGCCCTCGACACAACAAAGCAATTGGCGACCTTGATAAAAGGTGCGCGTGCGTTTTTTGCCTGGCTCCTCGTCCACTCACTTGGCGCAACACGTCACCCTGTTGTTCGGATAACGTTGCTTTTTGTACACAAGCGGTTTATTTGTTTTGCTCTGAAAACACGTGGCAGGCACTGGGAAGCCAGGTGTTAAGTAAGAATGGGTTTTCTACAAAATGTTCTCTTATTTTTGCAAGTTTTTTTTCATGAGGGCCCTGTACTTGCATCGTTTTGGCCGTTTTTTTTTTGTTCACTGCCTACCTGTCCTGTTTTTTGCCTGTCCCAAGTTAGCTCGCATACTAGGGGGATAGTGCTCAAAACGTCAATGAACAGACTATCGACTCACTTTCTGTACTGCCATTACCTGGTTGCCTTGCATCCCAGCCATGTGTGTCACCGGGTCTGAAAGATCAAGTCGCCCCTGAATGGGGGCCCTCCAATTTCTGAAGCAAAGCAGGGTTTGAACTTGGGTTGTGAAGGTTGCCTGGGAATACCAGGTGTTGTAAGCTTGGGCTGCGATATGGCTGTGGGATGGCAGTGAAGGAGTTGGTTGAACCTGAGGTTGTCTCCCCGTGTACCTGGTGGATTTTCAGGTTCTCTGGTTTCCTCCCACAAGCCAAAACATCTTCGTAGAATTGGTCAAACAGCCAAACATAATCGGTACCCAAATAAAAAAATCTTCATCTGTTCTTGCTATGAAGGACCATTTCTAGAAACTTCCCCTCCCATATATAAATATTTATTCCTTTTGTGGGAGTCTTATTGACGAATGTGTAACTTTTCGTAATGTATGCTTCTGCATCACTGCCAACGGAGGATCATCATCATCATCCATATTCCTACGCATGATCTGGCAAACCGCGCGCGTGCTCTAGTTCTCCTCTCGCCTCCGTGTGGCGCGAGCAGGGCTGCGAGGCGTTGGTGGAGAAGACCATTAAGGATATCCTCAACTACGTGATGCGGGTGGCACTAATCTACGCGGTCGTGCAGGTGAGAGTGACCCTTGTCCAGCCGGCACGTCTTGCATCGGTTTCAAGGACAATGCTTGTTTTTTGTTTGCATTTGACTGCAAGTATTGTGGAGCCGTTTGGTGTTTATACTGAATCAAAATCCTAAAGCGTGGCCATCTGATGCTGTTTTTTTCTTAAGCAACTTGCAGCAAACCCACAGTTTTGTGAAGGTGCTATTTTTTGTCTTGTTTTTTTACTGAGTGACGGTTGCGGTATTATTAAAGTGCTCGTGACTTGGCTAATGCACGCGTTGGCTTCGTGCTCTACTTTTCGTGCTCGCCCATTTCCTGTGCGCCACCACGAGGTGGTGATGTCACATGGCAGACTCGCGTTTCTTCGCTGCCGTATGTAAAAATAAGTTTTCACACCTAGATTATGAAAACCGTTTGCTGATTTTTCTAAACGACACGAACTAACAATTAGATTTTTTTCTGCATTTCACAAGTCAGAGGTGAAGATCTTCCAGTGGATGAAAAACGTGTAGGTGTGTGACCCAGAGAAATTGGGATTGTAATATCTCTGGGAGACCTTTAAAAGCCCAGGGAGGAGGTCCACTGCCCATCTAAATCGTAGTTATTTTGAAGAAGACGACTCCACACTGCACCCGATCTCATCTCGGAAGCCAAGCAAGGTTTAGCCTGGATAGTGCTTGAATGAACAGCTGCCATGGCCAAACCGTTTGTTTATTGGGCTGCATTCTGTGCAGCAAGGGGGGGGCGCAGTGTGGAAAAATCCGTTACTATATTGTACATCTATGCCCTCCCACATCTGTCCTCCACCTTAATCTACCCACACTGATCAGCGTGGTCAAGTACGGTCAAACATGCCCCCGTGATCAGCACCCCTCGTCCAGCAGTGGATCGTCGTTGGTGTCCATGTGTGTGCGTAATACATATTGGGCAAATCGGTGGACTATTACGCAGCAGAATGTTCGGTGCGTCCCTGCTCAAGCGATGGGTGGGGCCCTTCAAGCGACAGCCCCTGTTGACTTTGTTACTCGTGCCGAATTGCGATAGAGAAACGTAATTGCCTTGGGTGCTCGAGCAAGAAATAAAGAAAGGCAGAATAATTGTCGCAGGGGAAACCGGGCGGACGATCATTGTTCTGTAATATTAACTGTGCCCATGTCGCAGCGTACGTTTTTTTTTTATATCGGCGTGCGCTTGGGAACACTGTGCCACGCACACAGAAGGGAATGGGTAGAGTGACCTACTGTCACTCGGCAACCTTTTGCTGGGCCCGCTCGTTGTAACGGGAGCGGGCGTCCGCTGATCTATTGACGAAAGGTGCGCCGAGCAGCAAGAAGAAGGCAAACTAACGAGCCAGACAATTTCGGGGGCGTCTCTCTTTATTTGGGCATCCGAATGGATGGGTTGAGACAGGATAACCGACCTTGCTCCCGTTTCCTGGCACCCGTCAGCTGCCCTGCATGGTGCGTGTCCCACAGGAGATTTCCCACCTTTAGAGACACGGGTGGACGGGATCCTGGGGCTGCAATAATTATCACAGGGGCACGGGGGTAATTGACCACCGTGTTATTTTGTAGTCTAGTCAACTTGATCAACTAGATGTCCCCCAGCTCTGCAGTGTAACATGTGTGGGGAAGTGATTCGGGATGTAACATTTTCCGGCCTCCAGAAAACTGCGGCTCAATATCTCCGAGCAATTCGGTGCTGTTGTGTAGTTAAAACCACGAGAGCTGTCACGGACCATCGGGCATGAGTCTGAAGGAAGTGGTTTAAGTTTATCGGATTAAGGATTTCCCATTCAGAAATCCGTGAGCAGTGTAACGTCTTCTCATGTTTTTGGGGTACGGCCCCCGAAGATGGCTTCATAGAACTACTTCGGGTGTTGCTTCGGTTGCCTTTTTTGACATTCGATGGACGCCAACATCTTTATATGGCCCTGCATGGAGATGTTGGTATTTGACTATTGGAATATGTGAATCCTCATGGCTGGGATGTGCTGAGTCAAGTGACACTCCATTTTACAGTATCTATGGGACCTTTTTGTAAAAAATAATGAAGAAAAAAATAATGGATGTCACCCTTTCTGGCAATAAAACAGGTGTTAAGACGTTCAAACGCCAAACGATCCATATATTATCAGAGCATGTTTGTTTAAATGTTTTGCCACAAGTATGTGTGGTTAATGCAGACTTTTGATGCCTTGCAAACGGCATCTGTTTTGGTGTTTGAACATCTTAACGTTTTTTTTATTACCAGACGGTAAAACCTATTCTTATTTTTCATACTTTCATAGGCCTCTTTTTGCATGCAGCCCATTTGTAACCAGGGTGAGATGTTCAACTCTACTCAAAAAACCCATTTGAGTCATGGGTGGCTGAAATCAGATTCCAACCCAGGTTGTCATTGGTCCCCAGCCCTGGTAACTTACGATCGTTATCATCCCCTTGTGCTTTTGGGTGGGAGTTGAATGGCGTTCGGACGACGGATCGACCAGGCCCCCAGCGCAATGAGTGTGGAATTTCCATCAGTTTTCCCGGCGCTTCCTGCAGATATGCTCCACCGCACCGCTTGATCAGTTGAACAGGGGGACACTTTTTCTCGCGCCTGCCTGCTAATCTGCACGGTTGAAGGCCATCATTATCACCAGTAAGACTGCATGCGAGTTCGCCCCCAAGTGATCTGCTACCCACTCATTTCCCACATGTCAGGGCCGCACTCTGTGATCAGCAACTGCTCAATCTCTCCATGTCCCACGGCTATAAACATCAAGTCTGCATTAAAAAAAATGCTTCTCTTGTAGAACGCCTCGTTTGTCTTGGAACGGGGAGAGCCTGTATTCTCTTCCCTTTTTGCTGTGGAGCTTAAAACCCAAATCCGAATCTTTATGACCAATCCCTTGGGCAAGGAGACTTCCTTTTGGATTTTGTCCAGAGCATAAACAAAATAACGGCCTTGTGTGTTTTATTGCATTTTATATTGCATATTTGTATACCGTGTCTTAAAACATTCTGTCGTGTTAATTTTCTTGCCTTAGTAAGTGGTCTCGGCGCGTTTATGCTGTGCGATTTAAATTTTTTTTGGGTCGCGACGTGCACAGCTGCCAACGTGTTGGTACTTTTAAACCCCCTGTTGTGAATTGAGTGTAAATATTTAAAAAGGCACGCACTACCTGCTGCTACCCCGTATGGCTCGGCAAAAACACGGTCGTGAACGAAAAATGTAGAACGCAAACGGAAAAGTTGCGCACAGAGACGGGAAAGAGGACCGCCGCGTTGCGTGTGTGTCGGCAAGAAGCGTCGCGAGTCGCGAGGGTTGATGGCCGATGGTTCCGGAATGACAACGAAGGAAGAGGACGTTGGAGATCACGTCCACCTAGGAGATGGAGCAATGAAATCCGTCCAGGTTATAGGTGGATTACGTTGCGGGGATCGTGAGGTGGTGGCGGCCACAGCTTGGGATTTGATTTTAGTTTTAATGTCGATGTTGCACGTGACTGAATTGTCGTTTTGATTTTGAATTACGTTTTGGGGTTAAGATTCAATTGGATGATCGGTTTTTATTTTTGTCCAGTTGTATGATCTCATTTGTATCATCGGTTTCATTCTTTGCACAAGCCTGGAAGGGTAACTTTCGAATGAAATTGCCATGGGGTACGTACCAATTTTTTTTATTAGGGATGCAGCGATGCATCAATTTATTAACATCGGTTTTTTTTTTGTATGTCGCATGCATGCAGAATCTGTTTTTTAACCAGTGAATCGATCGTTGGCAGTCATGATCTTACAACGATGGTGCGTTTTGTACGTTCAACTTCTTTCGTACCGTACGTAGCCAACCGTGCCAATCGGAGGTGCGGGTGAAGGACAACAAACTAAACACAATCCAGGTGATGGTGGGAAAGCTGGTTTGTAACGCGTACAACTCCTCGCACTTTCCCTTCGTTTTCTCTCCCGCCGCAGCTGCTGGGCATGCTGTGCGCCTGCATCGTGATTTGTCACAAGAGGAGGGCCCACCCAGAATACGAGCCCCTGGTGACTGGGGGAACGCAGGCTTGAGAGGTGGGGACTGCAACAAAAGCGGCGGCAGCAGCAGAAGAAGATGAAATCGCAGCTCCGGATCGCCTCCGTTCCGGAGCATATGGCTGTGAGATTAATACGCGTTGAGGGTTCTGTGTGTTTTTCTCCTTTAAACCCGTGTGCACATGATTAGCGGTGGGGAGGGGGAATAATGGGGGGTGGATGAACGTGTGATGACAAACGTGGCAAAACGGTTATGTGCAGAAATTAATCTGCTTGTTTTTGACGTGCAAGTAATGCAACTGATTTAATAAAAACTGTCCTGGATACGACATCGCTGTTGTTGTTTGTTAATACCGAGTGACTTTTCATGATCACTGTTTAATATTGATCAGACGAATGAACTTCGGACACGAGTGTTACCGTATTCTCTGGATTACGAGACACTGGGGAACGTAAACTCCACCCCAGGCTTGTGTGGTGGTGGTGTCAAGTTAAATACACATCTGGTCAACACCTACTGGATTGTAAGATGCACACCCACCCCCCCAACTAAGAAAAATATTGGTGGTATAAACTTGTGTGTCCTTGTAACCCGGATTAATGTGGCTACAGTCTGTAAAGCATGTGGGATGCACACGGTTTTCACTGCTGCCATAGAGCCAACAATGTAGATTCCACATCATGGTGGCGGGGGGGGGGGTTCGAAATGTAATGACCCAGGAGGCATGATCTGACTCCCATCCACCCAGTGACCCGGATTTTAAGTTTGCAACCTTTCCCATTCTCTTAGTTTTTTCGGTAAAGTCACGTAGGTAAAAAATGAAATTAAAATTAATACAAATCAAATAATAATAAATCACTTATTAATTTCATTTTTTAACCTACGTGACTTTACCGAAAAAACTAAGAGTGAATCCTTGCAGTCACGAAAGCTTCAAATCTAGAACCTTTCCCATTGCCTGCTGCTTGTCACTGCTCCAAGCAGCAGCAGCGGTAGGATGAGGAGGAAGACCCTTGACGTGTTGGTCCCAGGGTTTTCTTGTCAAAGTCTGGAGTGCGTCTCCTACTGCTTCAAATGAGAATCGAGGAGGTGGGGGGGGGTTGGCGCTCGTTTACAATGGCAGCTCTAAGTAGGCCTGAGTCCAATTCCTCAACCGATACGCGGTTAAAAATTCTGTTGTTTTTTTCTGTGTCCGGGGTTGGGTAGCGGCTTACATAAGCACAGCAAAACAACCCGGACAGATTTCACCAAAACAGTAATTCCGTGTCACGGTCTTGCGTTCCGCGAAGAACGATTATGGCGGTGCTAAAACATTTTGGGCTTATGATAATCTGCAATGGGAGCCTCGCTAAAATGGCCTGGCTTTTGACAGCTTTTCTTGTCTCCCCCCCCCCCCCCCCCCGGAGGTTTTGATTGCTGGAGCGGTGAGCTGTCCGGTGATGCTGAAATTCAAGAGCGCAGCTTTTACAGCCGGCAGTTAATGGCACTTAAATCATTGCACATTTTAATGCTTTAGTCGTATACTGCGAAAATGTAGTCCCCTAATGGTAGTGTTTAGTTGCCGCAAGCGGTGGAGGCTGCTCAAACTTGATTCGTGCCTAAAATCCCAATTGGTTACATTTTTTTCTTCCCTTTATTAAATATAAATATATTTGAAACCGTGCTACGGTAAATTCAAATTCCAGTCGCACTCGGATTGCTTTGTGATTGAAATGTGGCCGGTTATGCTTTATGGCTCTGTTGATTTTAGTGATTTGGTTTTGAGTGTTATTAATAGCGCGTTTAATTTAATTACCCTTAGTCCTTTTTTCTGTCGGCCCAGTGGGTGAGTGTGTGACTGCTTGACACTATAGCAAAGTTGCGCCGCGGTGGCGAGATCTTAAATGCCTTGCCTGCTATACAGGAGGTTGTGGGTTCGATCCCAACCCCTGACGCCTGCCGTATATTTGGAGTTTGGGTGTCCCCTCGCCCTGTGGTCGTGTGGATTTTTCTCTGGGTGCGGACTGTCCCTCCACATTTTAGAAACATGCGTTGTAGAGTATTTTTAAATCCTTTATATTAAGTTCACTTGCTTGCTTGCTTGCTTACGACCGTGCAAATCTTTCGGTCGTTTTTTAACCCACTTCCCGTGATCCAATCGAGCTGACATTTTGCACACAGACTCGTTGTGCGTGACAACTTATTTTCGTGAAAATTTTTCCAAAATTTTACACTTTCTAGGAAAAATAAAATTAAATATTTAATTTCCAATTGCTTAATGGTGGCAGGCAATCATCTGACCCATAGGTGGCAGCCATCTCAAGCCAGAGGACGAGAGGACTCTAGCCGCCACGCATATAAAGGATTTATAGTGAAAAACGTTGTTTTTACGGGTTAATTTTTTTAATCCTTTATATTAAGTTCACTTGATTGCTTACGACCGTGCAAATCTTTCGGTCGTTTTTTAACCCACTTCCCGTGATCCAATCGAGCTGACATTTTGCACACAGACTCATTGTGTGTGACAATGTATTTTCGTGAGAAAAAAAATTCAAAAATGTTACACCTTTTCGGAATTCTTTTTTATATTTAATTACCAATTGCTTAATGGTGGCAGACAATCATATGACCCATAGGTGGCAGCCATCTCAAGCCAGAGGACGAAAGGACTCTCGCCGCCCGTTTCAAAGACCAATGTGGGCTGGGTTGTGGTCCATTGAACACGCATATAAAGGATTTATAGTAAATTTTTTAGATACATGTCCACACGAGAAGCCACTTCATTGGGCTATCTTTTGTGGGCAGGTCTCTTCTGAAAAAGTCATATAGCGCTGTGAGCCTTGCCTGGTAAAGTATATAGTTCAGATGTAATGGTTAAAAATCCTGCAGGTGGGTCTCCTTGGCCCCATCGTCTGCCAGCCGAAATAAAATCGGCATCACGTTTCTTTCAGCCTGTAGCATCCCATTGCTGGACAAAGACATCCCCCCCCATGATCTTCCCTTGCTTCTCTGTAGCCGTTCCTGTCCAGTCGTGGACTCTGATTCACAGGTGGCGGAGGAGACATCCCAGTGATGCACTGCGATCCTTCCGATCTCTTCCACCTGGCTCGTAAACGACCATCGGTGTGAAGTTCTAGAGCTGTTGCTCTGCAGCAGACACGCGATGAAGTGGACTCCACATTATTTCATTGATTCCATCTTCACCATCCCTTCTTCTGGCTGCCTCTGCTTCTATTGCGGAAGGCCAAAAGGGGGTCATTCCTGGGGTGAACTGGCCCCAGCCATACGAGTGATTATGTCTTGGGTTATGAGTTCCATTTTGTGGAGAGGTCGCCCGTGCTCGTACAATGGGAGAGATTTTTGGGCCACCCTGTATATTTACAAAATCGCCCCCCCCCCCCCCTACGTTGCCTTGGGCATAAAACACATTCCTGCGGAGGGAGCTGGTAGGAACGTTGGGTTGCTCGGTCAATGGCCAGGGTCAACGGCGGCGTGCGGTGGTGTATTCCGCAAATATGCCCGACTGAGGGTGGGCACAAGCCGGCGTGAGTAGGTTAAACGTTGAGTTTTATAAGGACACAACGGGTGACCAGCCCCTCCCCACCCAGCCCCACCCTCCCCACCCAGCCTCACCCTCCCCACCCAGCCCTCCCCACCCAGCCCCACCCTCCCCACCCAGCCCCTCCCTGCACGACGGACACAATAATCCCCTGTGGGCTGGTGTAACCAGGAGGTTCCTACCAGTATAAGCAACTTGCGTTTTAGTGGCAAACATCGCCGTTGAGGAACCCAATGGATGGGCATGCATTGCTCCGAGTTGGTCTCAATGGGTGCTCTCTAACGGCGCTCGTTGTCACAGTCCGTGCCTAAACTGTGGTGCCCTAAATTGTGGTGCCTAAATGGATGTGGGTCTGGCGTTATTCCCCCCCCGCCCCCCGCCCGCCCCGAGCAATTCCCTGTCACGACGCGAGGCTCCCGTTGACCGTTCCAGAAGGACGTGTCTCATCCCCTCTTGACACGGCTCCAATAGTGGCACAATTAGGCTATAATTGGCGATAACATTTAAAATCAGACGAGCTTGCTGGCCCATGACCTGACCCCTTGTCCAGCTGACTACATTATTATTATAATAGGTGCGCATGGCATAGAGCGCAGTTTATGGGAAGAGCAGCGTCTCTCTGTTTTGATATTAACAGCTTAAATCCCAGCCACCGTTGTTGGATGATCATATTTGTCAACGTTAGTGTCATCGTCTGTCAATCATTTTATTAACTATCATTGTCGCTGTCATTCTTAATTGGGCATCAATAGGCGTTCACCATTTGTGTCATGCTCGTCGCCATAATTAAGGAGTGATGCTGCCACTGCATTGGTGTATCTGCACACTGGACTTGCAAACCAGAGCTCCCTGGTTCAATTCGATTTCCCGGTGCGGCAGTTGAAACTGTGGTTTAAAATAATGAACTCTAATTACCATTGAACATATTGATCGTGTTGTTGGTGATGTGGTTTTTGGTTTGGTTTATTCGTGAAAAGTTAATTCGGATTTGAATTGGAACTGATATTTGTTTGCACCCGCTATTGTCAATATGGGTCTCGTTGAGCTACTTAGGGTTATCAGCTTTTTGCTTAAATCCGCATTCAACTCGTGCCACCACATCCGTCCAAATGAATACATCTCATATTAACACGTAGGCTTTCGCGACCAATGTTATTCATAATCAACGATTTTTGGGTTTAGATCGCGTTTATTTATAAATGTATCGTAACCCTCCACCACCCGACACGGCCAATCAGTAAAAATGTGTCACGTTGACAAAGACAAATAGTTCACTGCTTTAGCCCACCGGTGTGTTGAAGCAACAACATTTACAATTTGAGTACGACGTTTCGCTGGTAATTGCAATCAGCATCATACAAGCCTGAATTGCCCGATGATGCTGATTGCAATTACCAGCGAAACGTCGTACTCAAATTGTAAATGGTGTTGCTTCAACACACCGGTGGGCTAAAGCAGTGAACTATTTGTCTTTGTCAACGTGACACATTTTTACTGATTGGCCGTGTCGGGTGGTGGAGGGTTACGACACATTTATAAATAAACGCGATCTAAACCCAAAAATCGTTGATTATGGACATCTCATATTGTCTCGTTTGTTCCCCGCTTCTTAGCAGTTGGCTCTTTACCCAGATCCAAGCGGCCGGGTGCATCCTGGGGCCTCAATGAGTAGGCGTACTGTGTTGCGTAATCCTCTCGCACAAAATAAAAAAAGCCCCGAAAGTCACGTTTACCAGACGGTACATTGAGAAACGGTGGCTCCGTCAAGCAGCAAATGCCGTCATCTTTTT